TTAAGAGTACTATTTCACAAACAGAAAGTGCCAGGGAATACCTGAAGTTTGTGGAATAACGTTTCCGTTCTGCAGATAAGTCTCTCGCTGGTACACTAATGGCTGAACTCACGACCATTAAGTTTGATGGGTCGCGTAGTATGCAAAACCATATCACCGAGATGACTAACATTGCAACAAAACTTCAGACCTTGGGGATGAAAGTGGATGACTCCTTCTTGGTTCATTTTATTGTGAACTCGTTACCTCCTGAGTATGGACCTTTTCAAATTAACTATAACACTATTAAGGATAAATGGAATGTTAGTGAATTGTCCAGTATGCTTACTCAGGAGGAGTCAAGACTTATGAAACAAGGGAGTCATTCAATTAACCTCATGGGTCAAGGAGCTGGTAAAGGACTTAAAGTGAAGGCCAACAAGTTCAAGAAGAAGAAAGCACATGTTAAAGCTCCACATTAGTTAATCACCATCCCTTCCTCTAATGAATTATATCACATCTACTAACTATAACTCAACTCCGAGGGAATAATGAAAAGCAAAAAAATCCTCTACTCGAAAGCCGTTGCTGATGCTAAAACATGAGGGAGATATGTGTCGTTTTTGTAATAAGGAAGGACACTATCAGAAAGATTGCCTGAAACGTAAAGCTTGGTTCGAAAAGAAAGGTAAAATTAGTGCTTTTGTATGTTTTGAATCAAATTTAATAGAAGTTCCTAATAATACTTAGTGGCTTGATTCTGGTGCAACTACTCGTGTATCTACTACGTTGCAGGGATTCCTTACGATCCAAACTAAATCCAAATAAGGATTTCGTATGAAGGCTCCAATTGAAGGCGTAGGTACTTATCGTTTGATCAAGGAGACTGGGCGTCACCTTGATCTATTACAGACTCTTCATGTACCTTCAGTTTCTAGGAATTTGATTTCTCTTTCAAGACTTGATGTTTCTGGATTTGATTTAAAGTTTGGAAATGGATGTTTCAATTTATATAAGAACGCTATTTTTTATGGTTCAGGTTTTCTTAGTGATGGTTTATATAAGTTGAAACTCGATATTGGTTTTTCTGAATCCATTCTTACCGTTCAACACAATGTTGGAAACTAACGTAGTTCATTAGATGAAAGTTCTGCTTACTTGTGGCATAGACGTTTGGGTCATATATGTGAGCATGCGATTTTTTCCCTATATGAATTACTCCCATAAATTCAAAACGAAATAATTTTTCAATTATTTGCAATTTTGTGAATTTTTGTTGCATTTTCTGTCAAGTGTTTGCATTTGTCTGTGCATGTTAATTCTATTTAGTTAATGAAAAATACAAAAAATATGTTGCATGTGCATTTAGGATTTAACTTTGCATTTTTAGGAATTAATTAGTAATTAAAAAGGAAAATCACAAAATAGTTTATTTTACATCTTTAGCTTTAATTTTGAATTTTGGGGAGTTTGTCCTTTAATTTGGTTTAGCTAATAATGATAATTTAGAATTAACTAGTTTTTGTTAGGTTAATTTGGCTTTGTGATTTAACTTAGGATTTTATTTTTAATTTTGAAAAAAAGGAAATTAAAAAAAGAAGAAAGAGTTTGAAATAAAAGAAAAAGAAAAGAATAAGAAGGATCAGGATGTTGGGCCAAACCCCATCAATTTGCCCAAGCCCAAACCGAAATTACCCCTGAAACCCGTCCAAACCACCGAATTGTTTGGCCCAAGCCCACCCCTGAACCGGTCCAGCCCCTCCTCTCATCAAAACGACCCCGTTTAACTTGGGTCTAATCTCAGCCGTCGAGGTTGCCTAATCTAACGGCTCTGAACTAGGGATCACTTAACATATAAGTGTCCAAAAGCCCCTACCCCCCCCCCCCCTCTCAGAACCCCACCGTCTCTCTTCACCTCAGAGAACCCCGACGTAACACCGCCATGAACCACCGCCTGCCGCCCACCAGAAATCGCCTACGGCGGCGGCCGGCATCCAATCGCCATGAAAATAACACCATCGCTCCTCCTTCACCTCCTCATCCCAGATCCCCACTCCGCTTCCCTCAAAACTCCCTGGAACTCCTCGAATCTCAGTTCAAAAGAGAAACCTTAGCGCCGCCACAGTTTCTCCGGTGGCGGCACCACCTCTGTTCAATCCCAAATTTACACCCTATCACCTCCTTCATCTCCTCTACCTTATTCCATGACCAGTTTCCCCCAAATAACCTCTGAGATCCTCGAATATCGGATCGAAGCAGAACCCTAAAATCCCAAAATGCAAGCTAGCCAGTTGATTCGAGTTTTGGACTCAGAATTGGACCTTAGTCACATGTTTTCATCGAGAACACGTGATTAAGGTCCATCTCGGCCAAAAAGCAAAGATTTCATCGAATTTTGACTCGAACTGTGGTCCACCTAGTTCTGATAATCATTCCGTATTTTTTTTTCATTATTCTTATCTTCTTATATCCTTCTTCTTTTTGTTATTCTATTTTTCTCAATCTGTTTTGCATGTGTTTCTGTTAATCCAGTCAAGTGTTAACTGCTTTTTTTGTAGTTTATTTGATTTCATTAGGTTAGCTTAAATCACAAGCCTTCTTATTCGAGTAACTAATGAGCATCCTCACCAAAAAGGTGGAGGAATCAGGGCAGAAGCAACAGGTTCACATAGTAGACACTACCAACGGGGGCTTGTGCACATCTTGCATTAGCCAGCCAATTGGTAATCCATGGAATACAGAGCAGGATCATCATCACCAGCACCCTAAAGATATGAACTATGTGGCTAACTATGGGGGTCAGAGGCAAAGTAATCAGAACTGGGGTCAGCAGACTCAGCAGCAGTACAGGCCACCGCAGCCACAGTATAACGATCCTATCTTTTAACTTTCTATTATTCACAGGTCTACATCACTTAAAAAAATAAAAATAAGAAAACGCCAATTAAGAGGTGGCCTACTGCATTTGTTGTGAGGAGTATTCAAGTGCATGTGGACTTTTTCATTAAATCACAAGTCACTTATGCCATAGCCAATTGGGTTTTGTCACCATCAAATTGCGTGTTCCTTTCAAACATGGCAACTTATTTATTTCTTCTTTCTCATGTTTATTATACAAGTCAATAGCTTAGAAAATTTATGCGCCCCCTTTCTCAGCTCAATTATTAACAAGTTAATTGTGTTTTGTTTTTCTCTTTTCTTACTTAATTTATGATTAACATTTTGAATTCGGCGAGGGATTCAAAGTCTATACACACACTCAAAGCACCGCACACATCAATGTCAAACATTATCATCATCATCACCATTATATATCATTAATTAGCCATCTGTTATGAAGATTCAAGTTGCTTTTGGCCTTTTGCCTTTTCATTGTTGGCCTAAAATTGTTGCCCCTATCATTCCACCTGGTAAAAGCAAAACCCCTCAAAGATGACCACGAATGCTAGGTCAACTTGTGGGGATTGGGATTAAATCAACTTTTATTATTATCCTATCACCAGTAACCCAGCTCTATTATATTTCATTTATAACAAGGCTAGCTAGTTGTAAGGTTTAATTCTTTACCTTTATCATTATTTCCCTTCACTTCTATTTCCTGGAAACCTATTATAATGATTAGTGAAAGTGTGAAACATATTCTATACGTAAACATTAATTCCTGTATAAACTACTTTAATCTCACATTAAGGTGCAACATGAACGACTCTATGTAAATAACTGGACGGACAAGTGCACAAATACCATTTTCAGAAATGCTATTTAGAGATTAGCCAATACTTATTTTGTCCTGAAATTTTAAATTAAATATCTTAACTTCAGGACAATTCAAGACACTTTTGTCCCGAAAATTTGAACTGAAAAACTGAAATTTAGGACGCACTAGCTAATTCCTAAATTACATTCCTTTAAAGTGGCTACCTGGTGTCATTTATTTACCTATATTTCTTCTTTAACCAATATTAAAATTATTATTACAATCCGGAATATGTATTAGAATTTCCTTATTATTACGCTGCTTTTCTATCCATCACGCATAGAGTCAAAGAGTATTTATAAAGAGAATGGGCTATTCCTGATGGGCCTTTGGTTCCGTTTTAACAATTAAATAAGGGGAGAAATTCAAAAATGGCCAGATTTACAAGTGATCATTCAACAATAGCCACAATTTTAAAAGTAATCGAAATTTAGCCACTTTTCATGTAAAGATAAATCTGAACGAAAACACTGTTCAAAATCCGAAAAATACTCCAGCATATTATAATGGAGTTCCAGCATAAGTATACTAGAACTCCAACATATTATAATGGAGCTCCAGCATAAGTATACTGGAACTCCAGCATAATATACTGGAGTTCCAGTATAATATACCGGTCCTGTATAATATGCTGGAAGTTCATGCACAGGTGCACCGATCTCTAGTATATTATGATGGACCGGTCCCTGTTACAGCAAATTAGTGGCTATTTTTTAATAATTTTGCAAACGCTGACTATTTCTGAATGACCAGTCTAAAACTGGCTAGTCCGTGCTATTTTAACTTAAATAAGGGAATTGGGTTATGGCCTTGCTCGCTTTGAACTTCTTAACAAGGGTCAATGAAAATGGGCCATCGGAAGAACTGTCTTTTCGTTTTAGTTTTTTTTTAGGAATTAACTCAAATAACCGCTCATCCAACCTCTTAAACCAAAAATAGTAGATGAAGGTATATTATATACATAATTTATATCTTATCTATGTATAATTGTGTGTAATCAATGTATAATCTACATATATGGCTAGAAAAAATAAATAATGAATATGACCGGCTACTTATGTAAAGATTCCTTTTTTTTAAAAAGAAGATACAACGTTATAAATACAATCAACTAACGAAATAAGTTAAACATACGAATTGTATACATTGAATATAATTAATTAATTAGTTTTAGTAAAATGAAAAACAAGAGTGGCAATTTAAGATGCTCCAAAAGCATCTATTTTTCACTTTCTTTAGTTATTCTTGAAAGTATTAAAAAAAATAAAGACATAAATAATTCAATAAGTAAAAGATAAAGGATAATAACTACAAGCAAAATGACCAATGTGTCTTTGTAATATGCTTCTCTAGAAACATAGCAATTTCTCCAGCAAAATATAAAATGTCTTAAGCATCAAATGCCAAGAAATGTAAAGATTAGCAATATCTCCAGCAGATTGATGTTGTAAGCGCACCAGTTGAAAAGTCTCGAGATAAGAGTGATCAAGAAATATACTTTCCCTATTATTATTAACATTTTTTCTTAAACCTTTATGCTCAATCCAACTTTACAAGCAAATCAGAATTTCCTTTGAAATTTAGAAAGTGAGTTGAAGTGATGGGGACACTGGAAAAGAGATGAATTTACAGCTCATTGGTTCAGGACACTAGAAAATGCAAGATAGGGATGTAGCAGCAGTCCTTTAATTGGGAAATTCTGCAATTTCATCCCTTTTATTGAACCACACCCTTCAATCCAATGCCATTCCCACTTACCATTTTTTACACATTCCCTCCATACTACCATTCCTGATTCAAGATCTCTATACAAACACATAGCATCACCAGTACACACACATTTGGTATTAATACTACCCCATCTCCCTTTACCTTCTAACAATCTTGCCCCAAGTTCTTGTGCCACTTTCTCAATCATTATCCAATTATTATCTTCACTAAGTTCCCATATACATGCTCCAGCATCACACGTTCCGCCAACAAGACTCAACTTCCCATTTCTTTGCACCAATGCTGCAAATTCAAGCCTGTCAGCCATTGGCACACTCAATTCTCTCCATTTATTCTTCTCAATTTCGTATACCATTATGGTATAAGCCCGGGCAGACGTGATCCAATACAAGACACCGTTACAGTAAACGCTCTCGTTTGGTGTCCAAACTGTTAGCCTTACAGCAAACTCCATAGGCATTGATCCAATTGTTTTCCACTTGTTATAAACAGAATCGTACACTTCCAAAGTGGGCTCGTAAGAGGCACCTCCTCCATTAATGGTGCTAGCCTCTGACATTCCACCAGCCACATAGACCTTGAAGTTGACGGAATTCAGTTCTATTACTCCAACAGCTGGATTAGTCCTTGTGACATTTAGCTTAGGAAATTGCCTGAATTGCCTAGTAAAGGGGTTGCATATAGCTAATTGAAGGGCAGTAGTTGTAGCTTGTCTCAGTAGTATCAGGCCACCAATTGCAGCAATGGGGCGAATTGGATTAGGAATGAAGTCAAGAGGCAATAGATGCCAAGAATCATCAATTGGGTTGTGACCATAGCAAAAATGCCCCGTGATGCGCGTTGGCAAGGCTACGAACCATGGCGGGTGGTGCCGCCGAGGTGAAGCTGAATTCTTGGCACATGTATGCCAATTTTTGCAAGCTGATTTGGCCCTGGCTAAGGAATCAGGGGAAAGATAATAGAAAATGTTGGCTAAGATATCAAAAGGAAGGTTGCTCCACATAGCGTTGGACGTCCCAAGGTTCTTGTTACAAAGGGGATATAGAGGAATATATATATGGCACAAACTACAAAGTGATTGTGGCTGAAAAATGATTGAAGGAGAGATAGATAACTGGAGGATCTGATTTAGCATAGAGATGCGCGACCCACATGTGTGTCTGTGTCCAGTTGCTTAAAGTTCTGTCTTTTGTATAGCTTTTATAAAAGAATTAACAATGTCACATAATAGCAATTTAAATTATAACATTTTAAAAAAAAATATATATTAATATGAAAAATTGGGGCCCCAAAATTTTGAGGCCTAAAGCAATTACTTTAGTTGCTTTAGGCATCAGCCACCCCTGAACACGACTCTCAAACCCCATGTCGCTATATTGTGGATGCTACTGAATGAGAAGGGAGGATCTCAATTTATAGAAGACCAAACTTTTTCCTACAAGAAAAAGGACTAGCCAAATATGGAAGAATTATATTTTCCTTCTAGGAAAAGAAAAACCCAATCATGGTAAATATGTTGTCATTTCCTTCATGAGATAGGAAAACCAATTATGGGAAGAAAATCTGGACAAACACCTAACAATTCTCCCCCTTGACCTGAATTTTCTGACAAAATAAATTTGATCCATCTTCTCCACATAGTCTTCAACAGGTCGCATCTCCAAATCTCCACCGCTATGTTTGTCTCCGATAAAAATCATGATTATCGTCAAATTTGTTGCGGATAGAACTGAACCCGCCAAGATGAACCTGTCTTGAACCTCGCTCTGATACCACTGTTATGTCGAGGAAGAGGCAAACCCGAAAATAAAGAAGATAAAGAACACCAAATTTTAACGTGGAAAACCCTTCAAATCGAAGGTAAAAACCACGGGATCACAAAGATCCAAAAAGCTCCACTATAACAATAAGAGGGTTACAAAAGTTTTCCAAATTGGCTATACAACAAGTGCCAAACACGGAGCAACAATAGCAACAAGAGCAACAATAAATCAATTGAAGAAAGAGGATAATCCACAAAACGAAGCTGTTGTTCGAGGCTCGAAATCAGATGCTACGAGACTCCAAATCCGATCCCCGTTCAAATTCAAGACCAAGATGTTACAAGCACTCAGTTAAAATTTTAGCCCGATCCAACGGTTAAAGAATCAGAAACGTGATTTGAAATTGGCTGGTCGGAATAAAAATCTGCAGCAAAACAAATACTTTTCTTCTCTCTTCTCTCTTGATGAAAGCTCTCTTAAAAACCACTCTTATGTGCTTAAATCTTTCAAAGAATTGTATCAATGAGCATGGAATGATTCTCCAAGGTTGTCCTATTTATAGATCATGAGTGGTGCTTTCCCTTAAAGCCAAAACTAACTCTAAATAGGAACAAAAACTGAATCCAATTCCGAATAGGAATGGAAACCAAAAGAGAATAGGATTAGGCCATTGGGCCTTTGGCTGGAAATATGGGCATGTGCCTAACAAACTCCCCCTCCAGCCAAAGGGCCAAATGTGTCTTCAAGTAGAGGAACTATTGACGGGCTTTATGCCTGCCAATTTTCTACAAAACACATGCTTATCTGCAAGCTTAACTACGAAGTCCTCAAACTGCTCCATATAAATCTCCTCATCTAAATCACCATGAAGAAAATCAGTCTTGACCTCCATCTTCTCAACCTCTAAATCTAGACTCGCGGCTAAGCCTAGAACCACACGAATAGAAGACATCTTCACAACATGGGAGAAAATTTCATCAAAGTCAACTCCCTTCTTCTGGCCAAAACCTTTAATAACTAACCTCGCCTTGTATCTAGGCGCAGAGGTATGGTTATCTTGCTTTATTCTGAATATCCATTTGTTAGATAAAGCTCTCTTTCCTTTCGGTAATTTCACTAACTCATATGTGCCATTCTCATGCAGTGACTTCATCTCATCTTCCATGGCTTCAATCCACTGATCTTTATGAGTATCTTGCATGGCTTCATCATAATTCTCAGGTTCTCCCATGTCAGTCAAAAGTACATACTCATCAAGAGGATAGCGCATGGATTTTTGCTTCTCCCTTGTAGATCTTCTAAGAGAGGTTTCAGGAGCATTTGAAGTAGTTAACTGTGCAGGAATTGGTTGCTGATCAACCACAACTTCATCAACTGGAGCATCCATAACATCTATACCATGATGATCATTTTGGTCTTGATCACTATCTCCATCATTGTCTTGGGTTATTTCATGTGCAATAGTTGCCTTAGCAATTGAAACTGAATCAATATCAACTAAGCTTTCATTACTCTGAGAATCTATCTTCTCAGCTTTGTCAATATCTTCAATAGTTTGATCTTCAAAGAATATTGCATCACGACTTCTATAAGTTTATTGTCAACGGGATCATAAAAATGATACCCAAACTCATCTTGACCATAACCGATAAAGATGCACTGCTTAGTTTTGACATCCAGTTTCTATCTCTCATCTTTAGGAACATGCATACAAGCTTTACACCCAAAAACTCTTAGGTGATCATAAGAAATATCTTTGGCAAACCAAACTCTGTCTGGGACATCACCATCCAAAGAAACAACAGGAGACAAATTGATAACATAGACAACAGTGTTAAGTGCTTCCGCCCAAAATGTATTTGGAAGTTTAGCCTCTGAAAGTAAGCATCTAACTCTTTCAACTAGAGTTCTATTCATCCTCTCTGCCAAACCATTCAATTGAGGCGTCTTGGGCGGAGTTTTCTGATGACGAATTCCTTGTTCCTTGCAATAGTTATCAAAGGGACCACAATATTCACCACCATTGTCAGTGCGAATACATTTTAATTTCTTTCCCGTCTGTCTCTCAGTTAAGGCCTGAAATTCCTTAAACACGCCAAGTGCTTGATCTTAAGATTTCAAAGGATACACCCAGAGCTTACGAGAATGATCATCAATGAAGGTCACAAAGTAAAGTGCACCACCTTTTGACTTTACTTTAAAAGGATCACACAAATCAGAGTGTACTAGCTCCAATAAATCGGGCTTTCTTGAGGGGGGGGGGTGGCTATGAAAGGAAACCCTTTTCTGTTTGCCAGCTAAACAATGGATACACCTTTTTAGCTTTGCTTGTTTCACTCCACAAAGCAAACTTTTCTTAGCCAAACATGTAATCCCCCTCTCGCTCATATGACTCGATCTTCTGTGCCACAATTCTGATAAAGTATCACTTTCCACCAGATTTATTGAGTCATTAAAAATAGAGCCCTGTGTCACATATAAATGACCAGACTTGACTCTGCGAGCCACTACTAACGAGCCCTTAGTGAGTTTCCATTGGCCATTAAAAAGGGCATTATGGTAACCTTCATCGTCTAATCTTCCTACGGGATCAAATTGAAAGGAAAGTCTAGAGCATGCTTGACATCTTGAAGAACTAACGTTGAACCATTATTAGTTTTCAAACAAATTGTGCCAACACCAAACACCTTAACTTTACTGGCATTGTCCATCTTTAACACTCCAGAATCAACAGGAGTATAAGATGAGAAAAAATCTTTTCTTGGTGTGACATGTGAGGTAGCTCAAGAATCTACTATCCAGCTCGTCTCATGGGATACCAAATTGATGACGTTTTCGTCATAAACAAAAAGAAGGTCATCTCGAACAATAGCAGCAACATTGTTCTCGTTATTTTCAGCTTTCTTTCCTTCTCTAGTGTCTTGATTCAACTTGCGGCAAAACCTTTTGATGTGTCCTTTCTTGCCACAGTGGTTGCATGTAATATTATAGTATTTGGACCTTGACTTACTTCTACTTTTACCTCTATTCCTTGAGCCTCTTGTTCTATCTCTCCCCCGGTCTTCTGTAACCAAGATATCTGTTTGTGAGGATGAACCTTGAGATTTTCTCCTTACTTCCTCGTTCAATACACCACTCTTGGCATATTCCATGGTCACCTTACCTCCAGGAGCTGAATTTGTCAAAGAAACACGAAGAGTTTCCCAAGAGTCTGGTAAAGTATTAAGAAGCCAAAGTCCTTGTATCTCATCATCAAAATTAACTCCCATTCCAAACAGCTGATCAAGGACGCCCTGAAAATCATTTATGTGATCAAGGATATGGCTGCCTTCCTTGTATTTGAAGGTCATCAATTGCTTTAGCAGGAACAATTTGTTGTTCCCAGTTTTTGAAGCATAAAGAGTCTCTAGCTTTTCCCACAATGATCTCGCATGTATCTCGTTCACGATATGATTGCGAACATTATCTTCAACCCATTTTCGTATATATCCACATACTTGTTGGTGCTCGAAATCCCAATCTTCATCGGATATACTCTCGGGTTTATGAGCTGAAAAACGGGTAGATACATCTTCTTCACGAACAACAAGTCTTTCATCTTGCTTCTCCAAACATTATAATTTCTCCCATTTAAACATACCATCTTGCTCATATTTGCCTCCATTCCTTAACAACCCGGATAAATAACCAAGGCTCTGATACCACTGTTATGACCGAAAAAATCAGGTGTCATGTTGAAGCTAGCAAGCAAACCTTGAGCGACTATTGTTGATACCCAATTTTTCCCTGTATTTTTAAATATGCAAAATACCTTCAAAATAGCCTATATAGGCATATATAAGTATATCCTAGGGTTGCACTATTTTTCTTAATTTTTCAAGGATTTTTAATTCAATTTACTGTCCTATTTATCAAGAAAAAAACCCAATAACTGTCACCAAAATTATCATTTTTGGTGATTCATTTATTGGATTTTCATATTTATACTAAATATAGTAAAATATTTTTCACATATTTTTTGGTATTGTTAAGGATAAAATTGCATAATTGCAATATTAGCCATTTTTCGGTTTAAATCCGTCTCATATTTATAAAATGGGATTTTATATTTTTAAATTGATAATTATATATTATAAATCATTTTATTGCTTTTAATTAGTTTTCAGAAATTCATTTACTATTTCTTATAAATTAAATAGGGAAAAAGGGGGCTATTTAACTTATAGCCACATTTGGCCTCTTAATTTTGCTTAATTATACCCAGCCCAAATTGAACCAACCCAATACCCAAGCCCAATCCTAAATCTACCCGACCCAGCTCGGATCAAATCCTGGCCGTTGATCATTTTTGATTAGCGGTCCAGATCTATGCTTACCTAATTAAGCCAAACGACCCCCCCTAAACCCCTCGTTTGTCTCATTCGTCTCTATCT